CTTAATGAGATTAAGCAGCCCATTATTTGTGGCGTTAGCAAACACGCATGAACGTCTGAATCAGCAGGACACTTGCAAGCAGCAGTTAAGGAGACTTTGTGAGGAACAAGGGAACGCGAAGGGATGGTGACCCTGCCGTCACCCTCTCCTCGCCCCCGCGCTCTCCGGGGCCACGGGAGAACCCCCCGGACCACATTCTAGTTAAGGGCTGTGACTCAACACAACAGCCCTTGTCTTGTCCAATCTCCTCAATCTGGCACGCTGCCTTTCTTGGGTTTTTTTCCCCCTGCCATCATTCTTTTTTTTCCTTTACAAAAAGCCCCGCAACGAAGCTGCACCAGATTTTGCCTCTCGCCTCCTGCACCCACAGTACCTTCTTTTTAGCCCATTCTGCCTCTCTTTGGTGGGTTTTCTCTCCTCTAGCCCCATGTTGCAGCAGGTCTGGCCTTGGCACATCCCGATCCTCTGCCATTCCCATTCCCTCACCTGCACTTGGCTTAAAAAGACCGGAGGAAAGAGCAGGAGAATCCCAAGCATCTGTATATTAAGCAGCCAAACATGCTGCAATGGTCATTTCCAGTGGCTTTGAACCCCTGATACTTCAGCTGCTTTTCCCCCTCTAATTTCAATCTCCACATAAAAACACTTTGGAACCACTCATCTCTACTGCCAAATGTCAGGGAAAGAAGTGAGTCTTCCCCAAGTCTCAGACCTTATGATCTCTGTTGCAGCAAGGGAAAAATCCACAGAAGAGCTGGAGAGTTTCTTGCAGCACTTCTTTAAAAGAACAAACCCAGAAACGAGGACTTTTCCTTCTCTTAAGCAGGAGGAAAAGCAAGCACTGTATGCAAGCTCTTCGCAGGAAATCCAGTGAACACTGCAGATTTGGTTGTGCTCCCAAAGCCAACAAGGGCGTGCAGCGTCCCAGCCCGTGAGGACAAGGCAGAGCAGCGCAAACGGGGATATCACTCGTGAGCTACTGCACAGCAGACAGCATCACTGTCAGGAGCTGACAACAAACAGTTCTTGGGATCTAATCAAAATTAATTGTGAAAGTCTTTGTACCTGAAAATTAGTTATTTGGGAACATAGRAAAAACCACTAAAATCGAAGTCTTTTCTTTGGAGACAGTCAAGGCATTCCCCCACTCCCCTTTTTACAGCTGCAAATATAGTTGTTTTCCAGTTTGCCTTCATGTGCTTGCCCTTCTGTGCCACGCTGGAAGATCCCCCTCGTCCTCATACTCGTTTCTACCTGCTCTGTTTCCTTCTCTCTTTTTCAGAGCCTCTCCTTGCCCCTCTCTCCCTTCTCCCAAGGATGATCCGACTGCGTGATTCTCCCCCCAGCAAGCAAAATCTCAACAGAGAAAGGTTAACTTTTCTGAAAAGCCTGTTAATTTTCATGTTGCTGCTTTGTATTTTAATCAGCAGGGAAGGAAAAGCAAAGAGAGGTGGAGGGAAGGCTTACTCAAGCTTYTGCACACAACGATACAGGCCGTCCGCCCAGTCAGACCTCTGGCAAACTGATGATCAGTCCTACTTGCTGCATACATACGTCCATTTTGTTTAGTTATATACATAAAAACACTTTCCCTGTGTAAACTTCCCAAAGCATCATACTGGATTTCACACACTCCTTTCAAACAACAGATTATGCCTGAGAAATTACAAGAAAAAACACCTGCTGGAGTCTTTGCAAAGCGGAGAAGCGAGAATCGCACATCATCTGTTTGCACACACAGCCAGCGCACCGCAAGCACGATTCTCATACCCAACTGCTATTGCTCAAATTCCAGAATACCAGCCCAAACCTTACGATTCTCAAGAGCGGTGACACCTGACAGATTTGTACTTTGCATTTAAATATCCTGCTTGGCGTCGGTAACCACAGAACAAGACTGAAGTGTCGGGAGAGGAGAAAAATCTGTGTTAGACCTTGACTGTTATCACCCCTTAATGATACTGGAAGACTCATGTTGAGAATAGCTTCACCTAACTAGGCCCTTCCTCACTCACAAACCTCATATGAGATTTTTTGAAGCTACTGCAGGGGAAATACAATGCAAATTATATTCCCAGGGCCACCTTGATACATCTTGAGTGAGTTCCATTCTCAGCATTTGCCCAATTAACAGGTTCCAAAATTTCTCATTTTTGTCTGTGCAAGTTGTTACCTGCCCAATCTGTAGTAAAACCTTAAGGTAAGAGACATTCTCAGAGACAGAATATYGTTACACTTTGATTTATTCATTATTTTTAATCTTTGTAAAGATTAGATTAGATTAAATTTAAAATAAACAGCAGAAGCCTGTTGTTTTAGGTAAACAACACAGGCCACATCTAACAATCMTGCACAGACTATAAAAGAGCCCTCAAATCTTTTTATCCCTTTATTCTATATGTTGTCCATAGCAAAAACTTCATGAGTTAAGGTTCCCCTATCAGCATTACTGTCAATAAAATTTAAAAAATAATAATAAGCTTGTGTCATATCATAAAGAGTTAGAGTCCTTAAACTCACATAATTAAAAATGGACACTTTGGCTTCAGCGAGAAAATTGTAGTCTTAATTTCAATCCTAAAATTTTAATATTGAGAAGCATATTGAGAAATAGGGAATAGGAAGCTAGGGACTTCGCTTGTAACTAAAATCTACTTTATCATATGCTTTTCTTTAGTTCTTCTCTCCTTTTTAATCTTAGCCCATTTCTGTATGAGGCAGAACCCTTAGGAGGGCATTGGGAAAGGAATCGGAAGAACATCCGTGTTGCCGTTACACTACCAGGACGCATGGCTGACCTTCAGCTCATGCTTCACCTCGTGGTGAAACAGGTATTTGTTGGGATGGGAGCCATGGATTCAAGACCGGGCAGCCTGGCCTTAGGAAACAGAATGAGAGCCTGAGGATTTGCTGGATGGAGCTGGGGGCTTCGCGCAGGTCAGGGAGCAGCCACCACCCTGGTGGGAGCCACGACAAGTCCTCGCAAACCTCTGCCTGCTTGGAACTGGTGGCACTGAAGTGATGGAAAAGACTCCGTGTTCCCTTAGGGGTCCCTGGGCTGCCCATCAGACAGTCCCTGGCTGCCCTGGTCCCCCTGAGCCCAGCCCAGCCCCACGGCAGGCGGGCGAGCGGGCAGCTCTGTTGAGGGAAACGGTGCCCTTGCCTGTCCCTTAAATGTAACTTCCCAACGTGGAGCCTCACCAGTGCAATTCACACCAACCTCAGCTGGCACTGCTTACACAGCATGCTCACCAGCTCTGACAACCTAGAAAAATAAAAAATAAAACTATAACTAAGAAAAACACGGCCTCTCTAAAGATCCCGGTTCGCATAAGAATGATGTGATTTACGTTTTTCACAACACCCAATATTCCAAAGCATACACTGTCATTAAAAAAAAAAAAAAAAAAGCTTTTACTTTTTCAATATTTTAATTACTTTCCTTAGTTAAGTACCCATATATTATCTTCCATCATCAATTAAGTCAACTTGACCTTTTTAGAGACAAGCATGCTGGAAACACAAGTTCTACACACGTCAGTGCAGTTCAGAACACGTCAACCACCATCCATGCTAGGGATCAGACCAGATACTTTAGTATCCATGAATACTCTATTTTAAATAAATCCAGTGAAGAAAATGCCTTCTGCCTAACACTGCCTAAAAATACTGCGGGTTTTCAGATGGAACCCACTGCCCAATCACAACCAAAAATACATCCTGGAAATGCATCTACTTTTGAAATTAATAGTCAGTTAAAAACTTTATCCTCCATTATACTCAAGGACGTTTATCCATAAATCTAATCCCATACCATCATTACCCTCCATATACCATGGTCTACCCCCATTAAAATACATGTCCATTTTAGAGTTAAACACACCATTTACAAGAGTTGTTCCTACCACCCTTCTAGCTATACTKCAGTGAAGGGGCACTCATTTTCCCCAAGGCAGATACATCTTTCAGTTCTGATGGGAAATACACAATATTGTACAGAGAGCATTAAATCTAGATGAGGTTGAACAGAAACGTCCATCTCTGGCTCCTGAACAAGGCAGACCTGCCTGCTCCTCCCAGTCACTGAGGGACGAAATTACTTCCATGTTCCAGGTCTTTCTCCCCTCTCAAACCATGAAACCACCCGCCCCAAAACCAAAGGCATAAAAGCAAGGAATGCTCCGATAGTTTCCTTCCTTTCTGTATCGTTTCTTCAGGAAGGCTAGAATGGAAAACAATAACTTCAAGCAAGGGGCAAGTCCTCCCTCAACCAGGGAGGAGAAAAACAAAGATCTGGCCRCAAGGAATTTCTCTTCTCTAACCACCCTCAGGCTACATAGGAATGAACAAGAAATCCAACTTTCCACTCTCCTGTCCTGTGCTTTTCTCCTCTCTCTGAGACACAGAAGCAGCACCAAAGATTTTCTGCACACAAACCAAGACTTCCATGTCCAGGCACCAACACCTACTTCTCACAGGCAGCAAGAGCACAAGGAGATCCCAGTTACCAGCCTGTATTTGCACACAGTGGTATTTGCCCACTCCTAAACAACCTAAACTACTTTGAAACTTTATAATTTTCTTGAAAATATGAGAAAAAAAATACTGCATTATGGTATTATATGACTCCAGTCAGAATATTACAGTGATGTAAAACAGCAACTAATTTAAGCTTGTTAWAATGTAGCAGCCTTTTATTTTTTCATCATTATGCTGACATACTATCAGCTTGTGAAAACTCAGTTCTGAGTTTAAGGAAGTAATTTAAATGCTTAGCTCATAATACTTGAGCATAACATTCAAGCAAAAAGCACTGGAAAAAATGAAGTCTCTTTAGATTTGATGTATCATCCCAGCTTAATTAACACAAGACTTTCCTGTTTTAATTTGCACTTAAGAAGCGGGAACTTTACTCAATTTGCTAATTACTACATTTTCAAGCTGTTTGCTTGAAACAGATGCCAACCTATCACACTGGGAACCCAAATTTCTGTAGTTACCTCGAATTACGTAATTGTCCAAAGCCTCTTCCATTCTTTTCAATGCTTCAGCTCTATTAGAGCCATAGGTAATCAGCTAAAAAACAAAAGGTATTTGAGTTAATTGGAAATGAGATAATGCTTGTCTCTAGAAACGGAAAAGCATTTAAAAAGAAAGCGATTTATAGAACTTCTGCAGTCACAAAGGCATTTCTTGCACGTTACTGTATCAGTGCTTAAAGTCTTTTTTCTAAAATACCCAGAGAAAACTAGGATCTGTTAACCCATTCAATGAAAGAAGAAGAATTACTTTTCTTTTGTGTAACTTAAAGCATCTATACACGCTTTCTTTTCTTTAGGCACACAAAATGTTAACATCTCAAGTATCTAGATGACTCTCCTGACTTCTAGATGATCAATTGGCTTTGGATGTGATTTTTTTTAAGCAATTAAAAAGCCTCAAACTACAATGTCATAGTTTAAGTGAACCAACGTGCTATTGAGGAATAAGAGCCAATACTGACAGAAGCACCCAGGTTTGTTCCTTTCATCTGTAAGCTAGAACTGTAACCTTATTACATTAAAATTTAAAAAACATATAAGTGCAGCCAGTTTATTTTTTTATTAAAGTAATGGCTTTTGCTTAAATTTAAATCCTTTTACTGATCAGATACTGTAAGAACCACCTTTATCATTTCAGGAAACAAATTTTGGCTACCAGTGACACTAAATTCTACATTTTTCTTCACTGCTTCCTCATTCCCTTGACATATGTTTTATCCAGCAGTTTAAAAATATTGGTTTAATTTTACCTTAATGACTACTTCATTCAAAATATCAGCATATAAAAGCAGTGTATCATACCCTTCAGGATGTTAAAAGAGAAATCAACTCACTTTCGAGATCATAGGATCATAATAAATGCTAATATCACTTCCTTGTTGAATGCCACTGTCAACACGTACCTTCAAAAAAGAAGAAATAATTTCACAATGAATTCACACTGAAAAAAATGGTATTTTGACGTGAGATCTATGTATATGTGGTAGTTTTAAACATAACTCAGGACGCTTACGAAAGTACATTTCCCCTGCAAAAGAATCAGGATAATTATTTTAGAGAGCAGGGACGGTGAGATGAAAAATCTCTCCACTAGGAAAATACTTTAAAGTTATTCACTTCTTGAAGAGAAACATTAATGTAATATTCATCTGGTAGAGAATGCTTGTTTTCTCTCCTAGAATGAACAGTACACACAAAACATGATCTAAAATTTAGATTGTGTTGCGTGCTCTGAACTTCAGCTCTCAAGGCATCCAATCCAGCTTTAACCACTGTAATGAAACAGACTTGCAATTCCCCTCCTGACTGACACCTGGCCTGAAGGACGCCCCTCACAGAGACACCCCTTCTGCAGCGACACGTAACCCACACGTCCCACAGAGCCCCTCTGAGAGCTCAGCCGGGGGGATAAAACATGGGAAAAACTTGGGAGCTCTGCTGCCTGGCTCCGTAGGATCCCGGTGCTGTGGTTTCGTGTCTGTAACACTTTCCTTCTCCCTGTCTCATCCTCTCAGCTGACAAACTTCTTTTTCTATCGCTGCTGTCCCCCTAAGGCTTTAATGTTTACACAGCTTTTTCCACGGCTTCGCTTCGTAAGGACACAGCCCCAATTAAAGCTCTGATTCTGCAACATTCATGGAAAAAATAACACGAGTTCAAAAATTTCTTTTGAAGAGGCTGATTGCTGTTAAGCAGCCAACAAGTTAGTTAGTATATTGCTGATTCTTGTTTTCATCTCTCAGTTTGATTTCATCACTGTAGCAGTGAGGTTAGCCATACAAAACTTTCAAAATGAGCAATTTCTTGGGAATAAATATTTTTTAAATTGCTGCTTTTGAGCTCTGGAATCCGAAATATTTTTGAAAAACTATCAAAACAATTCACGAGTGATAAACGTGTTGGGGGGGATCTTAYGGATGGAGGAATCTAATCAAAGCTGCTGAAACAGTAGGGTGCTCATATACCGCACTGCAAAAGGACAGGCAAAAGGGTCCTGGAATCCCACTAAAATCCTCACCTGTGGGAAGGAACCTTTGTAACAAACAGCAGCTCCTCGGGCTGCAGCAAGGCAGGRAAAGGTCAAGGCAGCGGCTGTTAGGCCTTTAATATTTTAATTTAGGCAATTACCAAGGGAGCACATGTAGAACCTCTTGTCCACGGGATCCACATGAGGGCGGGATGATGACTTTATTATCCACATGACACAGGAAGATCCCCTGGCAGGTGCACTCACGTTCTTCAGTGAGCACCACTGCGTGACGAGTTTCTCTGACGTTTTTATCATTCCTTTAAATGTATGTATATGTACTCAGAGATACGCATACATATGTATATGCACAAATGCACACATGCATGTATACATCCCACTGAACAGCACTGCAGTTCTGTAATATCTTTATTGCATCAGGGCTGATGGGGCTCACGCTGGCACCCGGTCAGGCAGGCGCCACTCTCTACTGATGGAGAAGAAACTCCGGCACATCACAATCACACAAAATAAGCACCACAAATTCCCCAGCTCCTTTCTTGTTACTGCTAAAGCACCCTCTCCCCCAGCCTGTGCACTTTTATATAAAGTCAATGCGTACGTTCTCATGCTCAAAACAAAAATAATTCTCTTCTCGGCCCCCAAYCTAGTGCAAATCCACTGTACATAATTTGGTGGGTTTTAATACACAGGTATAGAGCACAAAAGACATAATTACTCCACTAATACATAGATTACACTGCAATATTTGTCATCTCTGCCATATCAGAGCCAAAGCACTTTTCCTTTTGTTAGCAGCTGCTCAAAGACCAGACTGCTGCTCATATCTGCAAAGTGCTGAGGCTCTTCAGGTAGGGGGGCCATTTTCTCCATGGCGTAAGAGCAGGAAATAGGTATGCTCACAGCCAGGACGATACACGGTTTTGTGTTCATCTACCTTGTGTTCATGTATGTGCATCTTGAGCTTCATTAGCAAAACTCAAAAAGACTGAAAGTCACTAGTTCCATGTTCTAARAAAACATGCAGATGACACAAGAATAGAGAGTTATTAGGTATACATAAGAAAAACAAATGGTATGCACGCATACAAGTTCCACTAACCTGGGCAACAGGCACATACACACACACACACACACACAATCTTGACAAACAAGGTCAGAAAACAGAAGAAATGCACTTAAAATGCATCTGGGAACATAATACTCTGAAGTTCTACTTATTGCGACACATTAGAAGTCTGAACTATGTTTTTTTCAAAGCCAACCTCTGAGTCTGAAATCTAGGTAGCAAAAACGGTGAGGCTCTGATGGGGAGCTCTGATGTCCAAACTCTTGATTTTGCTCTTAGTGCCATAGTATTCTCAGAAATTAATTAACGGTGCCAGGAACTAGGTATTGAGATATAAAATCCGGATGGCGAATAGAAAACAMCATTGGAACAGAAACAGAAAACTGATAGCAAAGAGACAATGGAAGCAAAAGAGGCAGGACGCTCCGTGCGCGCGCCTCGGCGCGCTGCTCCGCAGCCTCTGGCGTAATTAAGCCGTCCCTCCGGAGCGGGAGCACGGAGCGGGAGCGCGGGGCCACGTGCGGCGCCCAGGCGGCTCCCATCCCTCGCTCCCAACTCACCTCTCCCCCCGCAGGCCGGCTCCCAGCCCGCCCCGTCTACCTGACAAGTGACAGCCCAATGTGATTAAGTGTGGGCAAGGGAGGGGACTGGCGGGCCTCCATGACAGGCCAAAAGTGATCACCATGGAGATACATAATTACAGCTGTCAACGCGTCCACCGTCCTGCTGGCATCAATTTGATTGCTCCCAGCAATAATGATAGACAAAGCTTGGTGTGCACTCCCCTGCACCCAAGCGCTTTATCTATTCCGTGCTCCATTTAGCTGACATGCAACATTCACACAAGCAAATAACAGCAGTAAGCAGAACATTTAAGGCATTTTAATTGTTTTCCCTTTGTACGGATGGCTCGCGAGCGCAAATGTTATTACATAAAACTCCTGCTGCAGCATTAATTGAAGAAAGATTTGGTGGGACAAAGACTGTAGGGGGTACAGTTTGTCCATTATCACTTATACTTTCAACAGGTCTCACGTTTGGAAAATTGCAAATTGCAAAAACTTGCAAGGGCAAAATGTTTGACATCCTGTTASCTATTACAACATGGTGAAAACTTCCAACAACCACTAGAGTATTCATTATAAATTCTTATTAAATACACTCTTTGTTTCATTAAAAAGAAGCTTAGATACATCCAATGATACGTCTTCCCCCTCATCTTCTCTTTAAGATCACATAAGGCCTTTAAAAATCTTTACAATTTTTTTTCCTGCTTTCATGCTTTGAACACAGCATGAAGCCTTGAAGACCAGAAAGGGTCAGGTCCCTTTAGAAAGCACATGGGCAAAAACAATTTAAGAAGTGAAATAAATCATATATCCAATAACATCTCCACATTTGAGATTCCGCCTGTAATCTTTCACTATTTTCCATGCAAGCAATCAGACTGAATAATTGTATTCACAGATGGTACCAGCCTCGTCGTTCCTCTAGCTGACAGTGTCATATATATATGTGCACTTATGACTTAAGCTACCTTGATTTTCCAGAAAGGCTGAATCCTTGTTCTTTTCATGCAGCAAAAAAAAAAAAACATGTTTGTTAAATACTCATTCTGTATAGCCCTACCATATAGCAAAATGTGTAATAATCACTGTCACAAATGACATTTGCTCTTCAAAGGCTACACAGCTAAACAGAGAGCAGAGGCAGTTTCTTGGTTGTGTTCCCGGTAATCTCTAGTTACAGAGTTGACTCAACATTTGACTGCTCCTTTTAATAGCATTTTTACTGAAAAATTTAAGCTGTGAGTTACAGAAAGCAATAAAATATTTCAACATATACCAACTGTTTTCTTGCTGTATCCACTTTAAATACATTCTAGACACACTCTGGAACTGTACTTTTTTAACACTTTTTTAGCACAGCACAAATATTGTCAACACACTAAAAAAGAAAAGTTGGAAAAAAGGCTCACAACTCAGCACCTATGAAAACCAGAACCAAGCTACTTACACTTGGCAGATGCAATGGTTCCTGATACTGGGTGAGTTTACCAATGGATGGCAGGCCAAAAGATTTGTAGGGGTCCTGAAATGAAAACCAACATGAGAAAGCATTAAGCTTCTATAGAGGTGGAGGAAATCCTAAGCAGCTTTAAATTTAACATATATCACTGCTGAATTCACTCTTTTTCTTTCCCAGTATCAACTGTTTTGAACCACATTTCTCTGTCCACCTACCCCTGTGCCTGCAAATAAAGAACTGGCAGCAAATAACTTCTCTTTTCCTGCAGTCATTAARACTGAGAGGAATGTTCTGCACATTGCTATAATACATCTTCAGAATATACAAAGCTCACATCGTCATTTGTCATGCCGTGCCTTGGAGGGAGGATGGGAAAGCGTATTCAGAGAAGGGGTGGAGTTGAGAAGAAGGCACCAGGAAATACTTTCAAAGATTAAAAGGACAGTTAGGAATTCAATTACCTGAAGAAATCAAAACCGAGATTTATGCCTTTGGAACTCGCCTGGAGAACACAATGCAAGTGTAAACTTAACAACAACAGCAAATATACAGCCTACAGAACAATGAAACTCATGGCAAAGTAGTAAGATTCCATTATTTACATTCCCTCACCCTTATAAATAAGCTGAAGGAAAACAGTCAAGTGTCTGTTGCTCCAGTAAAGCCTATTCAAATTTAAAAACTCAAAATAGTCCGTATGCCATTCAAAAGGCAAATATTTATTCTTTATCACAACAGCTCATGTATCTGGTAATCAGCAGAGTGAGTTGGAAATTATGGGCATGTCATGAAGAGARAGAGCAACAGGAATAAGATGCCCTGGGTCACAAAAGCAGCAAAAGTTGTGTGTGGAAAAAACACATCAAGACACAGAATTTTTTTTAGAACCATAGTCACCTAAAGCTTTAATGYTTTCAAAATAAAATGAAGTGGGGTATTTTTTCAAAGAGCAAAATTTGATTTGCACAGATCAGAAATTACAGTAAAAAGATGCTACCTTGAAAGACAAATCATAAACATCCTTGAAAGGATATATTTTATGTTTCTGTAAACTGTAAGTTGAGACGGAGAGTCATGCTGTAAGCATAAAATAGTCACAGAATACACTTTTAAAGTTTGTCCTACACACTGAYGTAGGCATAACTTACTTGTTCAACTATCTACCAAAATATGTCAATACAGTAAGAATAAGCTGTTTAATTTTAACTATTTAGGCCGATATGTTTCAAAGAAAGAAGTGAAGAAACGTGGAAGCTGTTTAACAGCAGCAAACAGATCACTGCAACTCCCACACACACTCAATACGATTTGAACATCGAGCAAACACACTTGGAAACAACCCTTAGCTACGGTCTTTTATTGTTATTTAACTTCTTTTTTGAAAAGGTCCATCAGAAGACGTGCTGGTTTAGAAATCAAGAAATAAAAACCCTCGGCGAGGCCTCAGCCCGTTTCTGCGCCGTGCTCAAAATGGCGGCTTTGCTTCAGCCCACGGCCACAGGCGGGGCCTCTCGCCCCGCAGCAGAGCCCCCGGGCCCTCCTCTCCCGCCATTCCCGCTCCTTTACCTCGGCGTAAACGCGGCACTCCACGGCCCAGCCGTTGATGGGGATATCGGTCTGTCTGTGCCGCAGCGGGTAACCCTTGGCAACGCGGATCATTTCTTGGACAAGGTCCAGGCCGGTAATGCATTCTGTGACAGGATGCTCAACCTGCAAGGCCAGGAAACGCCAGGCAGTAGGTAAGGAAAACMACCCCCCAAAAAACCTCTCTCCATAAACAAACACAAATAAGCAAGAAATTAGAGCAGCTGAAAATCAGACAAAGAGTGCGCTTCCCTGGCTTGATCTTTTCCCCCCAAATTTTATGCTTGATACACTCCAACAACCATCTTCCTTGTAGGAAATCCCTGCAAGATTCAATAATTACTAGATTACAATAAAGGCAAAACATGAAAGCAGAACCTGTACAGAACACCAGAGAGATTTGTGTGGGGTTTTTATTTCACAACACTCAGAAGTGCTTGGTGAAGATGAGTTAATCTTTGTTTGTGCAGGAGCCTTTTTTCTTCAATTTTGCTTTAAAAAGACTGGCAGCAATTTAGCCACAAATCTATTTGAACTGAGGAAAAAGAAAAACAAAAAAAGAAAGTAGCTGATAATGAACCCATTCTGCTACACTTAACCTGGCACGTACAGGAACAGCTTCCAATTTTCCATAGAGCCAGCCTAGCCTAAATCTCACCCATTCGCCCGCCTTCACTAACCTGTCCTGACAAGCGACCAGATTAGTGTAATCTCACATCAGCGCAGTGTTGCAGAAAGCAGCAGATGGATCCTGGAGATTTTTTCCTCCTCCAGCCTTGGCCGTTGCCCRCGCCCAAGGCTGGGCGGCCGCGGCACCCTGCTCGTCCTGCTCCGTGGACCGCGGCCAGCGGTGCCGGGATCCCGCAGGACCGCCRGCCTCACCACGGCGCGGAAAGCGACAGTTACCGAGGAAAGACCTTCGAGCTCGGCATGGAGCTGGGAAAACCAGCTCCCAGGGTCGAGGAGATGGATGCAAAGGCAGGAGAGGATGTCCCGGGGACAGGAGGTCAATGCTGTCTCCATGTTGGGCACACAAAGGCGGCCCAACGCCCGCCACGTAACGAGAGAGCTGCCCTTTTATTACAAYGTATTTATGTTGCTAGAGTCAAATACCTGAAGAAAAGACACTTAACACCGGTTTCTCTATCACGAGATGTCACATTGCACATGTTTTGTGACAGGGCAAGGTCAGTGAACAAACCGGTTGTCCTCCTCCTCTCAAGCAGGCTACTGTACAGAAAACATTCAGTCATTACAATAATCTCATGGCTTATCGGAACAAGAAGATGCTTTGGTCTTTAAGAAAATAGCTTTGTAAAAATAAACAGATGGCACCCATAATTAGCCCTGTGTGTGCTGTGAGTTTGTTTATAGCTTCAACAACATTTTAAGACGTTTTGACATAATTTTAATGACAAATCATCACTGAAACAGGCACCTATTCTTTGAAGGATAAAAGTGATACTGAAATGGGAATCTGATTATGCAGTTTAAGGATGTACCTTTGGGATTCAATCTCGATTCTACCTAACACATGATATTCTCCAGGACGTCAAGTTTAATAATAGTATTCAGAAAAATATGTGAACCGACTCCGTATCTACCCTGCAGTGTCAAATGGAAGCAATTCCATTTCTATTAAAACTTAAAAGTTTTAATAGAAAGATATTTATCACACATCAATTACTTGGACAACAAAACTTACTCTCTTAGCTTCGATTTTAAGTCTTAAAAAGTTACCTTTAAGTTTAGAACATGTCTGCAATTTCAACATTAAGAATAACCAAATATATATATATATTTTTTTTTACAAAGGCATTTGCATTATTTAGCTCTGGTGTCATTTTTCTTGGATTATAGTTGGCATTTCAATTTCAATAGCTTCATTGTTGTTTTCAGCTTTATTGTTGATGATCAAAATAAGATGGAATGTTTCTGGAAAGAAAAATATTTTTGTTGTTTGGTTCTTATGACTCACAAACATTTATTTAATCCATTCTTCAATGCAGATCTTTGACTTAGTCAATATTTTCTTCTGCTTCTCCAAAATACTCCCTTTGTGTCTGGACACAAAACAGTATTCAGAAAATATGACAAGGAGAGTTTTTTAAGGGTTTTGTGGGGTGGGGAGAAGCTCTTTTGCTTTTGGAGGACTGTGCTTCAATTATTGCTCTTTAGACAAAATGGAGAGATAATGTAATCACATCACTGATTTTTCATTACAAAATGCATGTAAAATGTGTTCTAGACCAGGGCACCAAAACGGGCTAGAAAACAGACTTTCAACTTTGAAATGCTGGTTGACCCGTTACCTTAATCTTTCAGTGATGTCTACAGCTCATAAACTCACCTGCTCCAGCATTTGTAGTTTTGGGGGGCAAAGGGAAGGCAGGAGGGATTCAGTAATTTTAGTGTTGTACAAGATAGGCTTCAGCAAATAGTACAGGACATTAATAAAGCAATGAAGCCACATCCTGATTCAAACCACAACAAGCAACCTGCAGTGAGGTTCTGGAGGTGCAAAAATCTGCCCAAGGAGAGAGGCATGCAGGACACAAGTTAAAGCTCTGATCTTTGACAAAGGAAGCAAGGATGGGGGCAGAAGTGAAGAAATCATATTCGACCCCTCTGCTCTCAAATGAGAAAACACAGGCATTATCACTCCCTACCTGCGAAAGTTCTGGTATAACTGTGGCAGTTAACTAACTAAAATAACTGCTGTAACTAGTAAAAGACATTTTCATAAGTCAGGTTTTAATTTTCTCCTTTTGCTTCTCAGACTTCTACTGTAGGGGTTATTCTTGTATTTTGGTTTTTTTTTTTTTCATTTTATTTTGTTCTCTACCTCTTCTCCATCTTTAGTTTCATGGCTACTAAATCAAGGATTTGATTTTTAAAGAAATGTACAAAACACACTCACGAGCAGAGCTGCACCGCGCAGCGTGAACCACTCTTTTAGCTCTGGGACATCTCAGATTTCAAAGCCAGTTGATCCCAAGATCTTGCCAGTGAGGCCTGAGTGAACAGGCAGGAGTCAATGGTAGGAAGTTTATATGATACTGGGTGAATTCACACACTATCTCTGTCCTTAATACAAAGGCAAAACCAGACCTGTTTGCAAGCAAGCAACCTACAGATCTTCGCTATGGGAGTGCAGTTGTCCCTATTATCAGCAGGACAAGGAAAAATTGATTAGCAGTAACTCTCAATGTAGTTAGCTGCTCAAGATATCACCTTTACTGCTCAAGATATCAAGATACACCCAGGTCTGTTACTTATGGCAAGCCTGGCCATAAACAAATTATAAATGGGAAGTTCCCATTTCACTGCATTTAAGTACGATGAAGATTTACTGAAAAGTGGAAACAATTTAAGTGTCTTTCTTCAGCAAACTAGACATGTATAGATCACAGGAAGTGAGTAGTAAGAATTTAAGTTCCCAAAGCTGCAACTGTCACTTTTAGTGTCACTAAGGGGAAAAAGGAAAGTACTTCCTCTACACTCCAYTGCAATTCCTCTGAGTACTGCAACAGTCTCGTTCCCTAGATCTCTTCCAGTTTTTGTTTTGTAGCACACAACAGTGGCAGCAGGAATGACAAAGTTTGGGAGAAAACCGTGCTAGGTCCCAGCTTATAGATAGTGAAGCAGCTAGAACCAGCCTGAAGGATCCTGTCAACCACAGCCCAGTCAGCCTCACTTGCTGGCAGAGGCTGCTACATCTCAGTCCTGTTTTGCGACTGCCAACAGTCGTGCAGCCTTCCCGTACAGGGTCTCGTCCACAGCTACAAGATGTTCTCAATTTTTATAAGCAGATTGAGCTTAGAGCTAAAGCTAAATGGATGCTTCCCTTACATGAAGGGGAGTAGTTTCAGGACGTCATTTTTCCTCCTGACTAATGAGGTGCTYTGCCCAGAAGTGAACACTTGTGGATATTCCCACGGGTGACACTCTTGCCTCTGTGCTCACAGAGCATCAAGTTTCTCTCACATCAGTTGGACATTGCTACAGAGCACAGAGGCCAAGGAAATCTCAATTTCAGAAGCTCTAAAACTACAGCCTATGTCATCCCTGCTACTGGAAGTCCCTGGCCGATACCACGTACTCCTCAAAACTTTCAACATGCACCACAGTTTCCCAGAAACAGGAYTCACCTGGGATCCCACCTGCTCTTCCTCCACAAGCAAACCAACATCACTTGACCCAGACACAMCAACTTATAGGTGGCTCCTCAGTCTCCCTTATTCCAGCAGACTTTATTTTTTATTCAAGAGCACTGAACAGCAGTGGAGGTCCCCACATGTTCTGCTCTTCAAGCATGCCTGGTGCTGAGTACCACCAGGAAGGCACTCCAGGGTCACTTGTTTTTCTGCAAGGTAAGTCCTTTGCAGTAAGGTAAGTTCACAACAGCCATTGGGACACTTGGCTTAAAAAAAATTTACACATTTCAGAATGTTCAATTGATAGAAAGACTCTGTGGAAATCATACAGTAAAACTAATCAGGAAATTTGCTTTCTATGTTGCCATTTTATATAGACATAGCATATAACAGAAATTGATGCTTCTTTCCTGATTTATCAGTGTTTGATAAGGAAACTGCTAAAAGTCAGGTAATGTAATGAGACCTAACACATTTCCACCAACTGAAATACTCCGGTAGACATCTAATTATTTCATAAGATGTTTCAGAAATAAATGCTACAGTAAAGGCACTTGATACCAACTAATTTAAGGCAGTAGATGCTAAATTTGAAATGTTTAATCTGCTTCCTCACAGTATATACAGGACGCATGTGGATTTAGTTTCACCAACTTTTCTTTGCAAAGATTTGTTTCTTTATTGTTTTGACATAGGTCAAAACTACAAAAAAACACACCAGACTTATTTATGAAAAACAAATCTGTCTTTTCTGCAATTTAAACAAGTTTCACACACTTTACACCAAGAGCTTATTTAGCTCACAATGTCAGATATCTTCTGCAGTTAAGATCCCATAGTTCAAAAATAAGTTTATGCAATTTCGTTTCCACAACATGTGGCACATAAGAAAATAAATAAATTTATAACCAGCAAAGTTGTCTTAAACCTCCTTTAATATCGATACTATTTTTTCCCTGCTTTCATTAT